AAACTATTTATCAAAAAATTCAACAAAAAATTGAAGATTATAACTATTTAATAACAACAAACTATTTATCAAACAATTCAACAAAAAATTGAAGATTATAACCAATCATTTCTAGTAATGTCTAAACTTTTTTATAAAAAAATCTTTGTAAGATTTAATAATATTCATATTGATAGACTACTTCTTAATAACTCTCTCCTTACAAATATGATAAAGTACTAAATGCAATTCATAATTATTTTTTAGAATACTTTCAACAAAACCTCTTCAACTAATTCAATCATCTTCTGAATTTTATTAGCTCCAACAACCACATTCTAAATATGAAAAACTTTATCAAAACCTATTTTAAGATATTACTGACCAAGAATAGCAGGATATTATAATCAATTTATTTAATCAAAAAGCAGCTAAACCCATATTGTTCTTACTAATTCTATAACTTTTAATCTACCAACTCTTAACAACTTAGTTCAAAAAGCTAGTGCTGCAAATATTAAATGCATTTTAACTCTAATTCAATTCTTAAAAGTATAGGTCTTACTTGTATTAAATCATGGTTAACTAAAATTTGATATCCCAATTTAACTTCAAATCTATTGTCTACTCATAATTGTAAAGTTAAAAACTTTATACTAATATTTCAACTTACTCATTTAGCTAAAAACAATATTCTTTATCTAATCTATCTTTAAACTCTAATTACCCAAACTTTCTTCTAAATTTCTCTTTAATCTATAATATACTCTCTTTAAACCTATATATTTCTACAATTAATAGTTTAAAAAACTACCACCATTTGCTTTTCATTGAAAAATTACAGCATCAAATAACAGATTTATTCTACCTTGAAATAATATCTACTGCTCATGGTCATCAACCTCTATGGTTTAATAATATTTTTCAATTAGCACAAAATATTACTTTTAACCACCTGGCCTTATCTAAACTTATCTACAATTAATTCTTTTATCAACTTAACTAATCTTTTTCTTTCTTTATTACAATTAAATTCTTCTTTCTTTATACAATTACTCTTACTAATAATAATAAATTTCTTTTTACAACATCTCAACTCTGGTTTTATATAACTCTTACTATCAACTCTATCATCCTTACATATTTGTTCCTCTTTCAATTTTCCTTATAAACTAACTAACAAATTAAATAATTCACTTTATATTCAAATAGACTACAAGGAGATTTTTGCATTAAATAATATATTTGACTTCAAAATACTACAAACTTTCTTAACTAATATCACAAATTAATATCTATATACAAGATATACAGTTAATATATGACATAATTAACTTTACTATATACCAAAGTTAACTCATTAATCTTTACTCTTTTATTCAAAATCTTGGCTCCTAAGAGCTTCACTTTCATACTGATACCTCAATTCAGAATCTACAATTACCAAACATAAAGTCTAGCATTAGCTAGATTTATGAAAACAATATATCTATTAAATTTAATCCAGCTACTACCCTTATTCGAATACAACATGTACTAAGCTTGTAGCAATCATATTCTTTTTTTTATAATCTCTAATAATACTTATATGCATATTTATCTAGACAATAAGACAGCAATTAAAAACTTAAAACAAATATATTATTCTAAACCTTTACAAAACCAAAACTGAAATATCTTACTTATTATTAACAAAATTAAATCTATCAAAAATCTTACATTCACCTTTCATAAAATCAAATCACACTCAAACTTCTTACATAAACAGCCAGATTTGCTTTACTAATTCACTTCTAATGAGAAAACTACTTAATCTTCTTTTTTTTTTTTAACCTTTGCAATGTTGCAGAAAAACAAATTTTATTAAATATTTTAGTAGTATATTCTTGGTTAATGAGAGTATATTTAACCATATATGCACTTTTGGTTGCCTATTTAAGTAGTCTACTTAATCTTCTTTAAAATTCAGACCTTTATTAAAAATATTTATACAATACAAAAACCATATTCTTAAACATTACTCAAAATATTTAAAGATATATCCAATATCTAATTGACTTTATGTTTTGATATTCTAAACTTTCTTAATAATAACTTATTTAAATATTCTCTTAAAATTAAAATTCTAACAATCTTCTAACTCTAAAAAATCTAAATATTCGATATTCATATCTATACTCTACACCAAACTACACTTGTTGTTCTAATTTAGAAGATACTTTATACTTACTTCTTTGTTCTAACAACAACATCAATATTTAACAATCTCTAATAAATATTATTATTAACTCACTGGCCTCCCTCAAATCACAACTACATCACTAATCACTATTTTTAATATCTTTCTTTATTTTACATTTAACTCTTCTAATTTTCTTTACAATTAGAGATGCCTGCTGCAAAGGCGCAATCTTTGCACTTTTTTAACCTTATTTGTGACTTTTGCGAACACCTTTTTATCACAAAAGAGTGTAAGATCTCAGAGCCACAAGGTCGCAAATTATACGCAAAGATGCAAGATCGCAAATTATATAACTGCAAGATTACTGAGTAGTTATATGCTAAGTAAATTATATATCGGTATATATATATATAATGTGATCGTTTCAAATTCAGTTTAAGTGTAACAAAAACTTTATATAAAAAAAACATATTTATTAAAAATATCTTTTATAAAATAATACATTTGTAGTCAAGCACAACATATTTTATAGTAAATAAAACATTAAGTGGTCTATAGAGAACTAGTTTGAACTGAGTTAAAACCAGACTTTTAAGGATTAGTATCATTTTTAATTCGTCAAATGGATTCTATATAGTATAAACAATAAACAATGGTTTTTAAATAGATATAATGAAATTTAACATTCTTGCTTTAAAAATTAATTAATCATTATGTGAATTACTATGTAAGTGCCTCAATTTGTAGAATTAATAAATATTTTTATTGCCTATATTAAATTGCTAGGTTAGAACTGGTTTTTTTAATTATTTTTTACGGGGATAAACTAGTTTTTAACTAGTTTTTAAACCAAACTTTAAGCGACTGGACCAGGACCAGACCAAATATATTACTTAACATTCTTAAAATAAGAATCGTATATGTAAATTGCTGCCAGAGTAAGTTCTAAAAAGAGGCAACAAAGATTATTATAAAATTAAAAAAACCTGAGACTTTAATAGTGTCAAACTGCTCAAAGACTATATATTTTTGTTCTAGCAATTCTAAGAAAATTCTAAAAATTACCAATTTGAGATTATAATATATATGGAATCATTATAATAAAGATCGTAAATAGATTTAGCTTAGTATATATACTAAAAGATTCGAAGTTAGTTATTCAATTCTTGTTTATAATAGTTATTCAATAGTATTCAAGCAAAATATGCAATTATGAATTTATAATTTTGAATTTTTTGTATCTATTACAATTTTATAGCATTATAAAATTTAACATATCTAATTACAATTAATATATTACGATATTGATTATAGCAAAACTTGTATTTTAGCATTGTCTCGATTATATAATATTATTCCTATAAATATTAGTAAATTTAGTATATAATAAAAATAAATATATATTAGATTTTAAAATGTTATATCAAACCTTATCGAATCCCATATTTTGAATAATTGTTTGCGGGTCATAATCCTCAAAATTTCCTTTATTATTATTAAAGTTTTCATTTTCAATTAAATCATCTTTATTGTTATTGGATGGTTCAAAGATTTGTGAATTAAAATCAATAATAGTTTTAATTTCTAATTCCAAATCATTTGTTATAATATTGGTTGAGTCCAAAACAGAATGTTGATCGACTTCTTCATCTTGAGAATCGTCATCCTCTTCAAAATTATGAAACATAGAATTAACTAATGTATATATATCATTAATATTTAATTCATTGTTTTTAATTTGTTGAGTTGTTGACTTAATTTGTGAAATATTAAATCGATGAACTTTAGCAATACTTTCTAAAGTTTGAGTATTCATTCTGTAACGTCATTTACCATAAAGCCAGTTTAAAATAGAGAATGTCCATTCACATGCTGCACTACTAGGTGTAATAGCAAAAAGCCGCATAGCAAGACATTGTAACTCATTTGGATTAACTTCACATGTTGTCCACCAGCTTAATGGAGTATCTTGATTAGTTGTATAAGGCATAGCATATGCATTCGAAGTTCCATAAGAATGTACTTGCATTTTATATTCCCGTAATTGTGTTATTAAGGATTCAAAGCTTTCTTGAGTATTTCCTAAAGATTTCCATAATATGCCAGCATGATAAGCAATTTTAGGAAATACACCGAACTTAAGTCCAGTTTCTTTATAAGCTGGATGTAGAAAAAATGTCAAAAGATAATTAGGATCATCAAATTCATTATATCGTCGATTAAAAACTTGAATACAATAATTTCTAAATTCATGGTATTCCTTTTGTGGTAATTTGTTAATTGCGGTACCAATTTTAAGAAGAGTAATATAGCAGTCAGCAAGATTAGATCGACTCCCTTCTACTTCAAGAATTGCAAACTTGATTGGTGTAAGTATTTCCATTAGATATTGTATGTTATCAAAAAATCCACGGCTTTTTAAAATAGTAATAATTTTATTATTTGCAATCTTATATGCAAATTCGTCTCTAATTTCTTCTAAACATTTTTTGAGACGTATAATTGAAAAAATGCATTCATGAAATGTAATCCATCTTGTTTCAACATAATATTTAAGTCCACCAGCAACGATTTTATATTTTTCCATTAAAGTTTTTAATATATTACTTGCAATATAAGATTTATTAAAATGTTTAACAATCAAATTAGCTTTTTTAACCAACTGTAGTGCAAATTCATGCTTGAGAATGTCTTTAGTAATAAGGTTTATAGCATGTGCTATACATCTAAGATTTAGAATATGTTGATATTGACTAGTAACCAATTTTCAGGCTAATTTTATATTAGATCCGTTGTCACTAATAATTGCAGCTACTTTTTCTGGTCCAATTTCTTCAATAATTTGCTAAATTTGCTGTGCCAAGAATTCACCTGTATGTGAACAACTTGAATAGTCAGAAATTTGATAAATAAATTCTTGGCGACTAGGTGTAAGAATCACAAAACTCCATAATGATGTTTTATTTGGACTCGTCCAACCATCAATACAAATTGTTAAATTCGAAGTAGATTTAATTGTTTATTCAACCTTTATATTAACTTGTGCTACTTGTGTATCTAATAAACGACCTAATATAAAATAATTATGTATAAATTAAATAAAAATTTATTAGATTTAATTATCATTATATGTTAATATATATATATATATCTGCTAATATTTAACGTGATGGTAGATTATACTCAGGACAGAGTTTTTTAAGAAGATTGATAATAAATAGATTCTCTATTATATTAAAAGGTAAACCACAAGAGACAAATGCTATAATTAATACTTCATTAATTTCTTTTTGTTGAATTTCCGAAAGTTTTGCAGATTTAAGCTTCTTTTTTTTTAGATTCAGATAGCTTGACTTCAGAATGAATTTTAGATAGAATCATATAATTTTCAACTCTTGGATCATCAAAAAGATTATTTGCAATTAGATAATTATAATATCGCTTAATATGTTCAGGGCAACTTGGACATTCATTTGCGATATGAGTTCTAGTTTTAATAGGTTTAGCACGTCTGAATTCCTTGTTACAATGAATACATTTTCCCTTGTAAACACCACGAGATATTTTTTCGCCTATTTCAATTTCCTTCCAAATATCAGTAAATTGACGTCCAACAGATTCACTATTGCTTTCACTATCAGAGCTACTACTATTATTAACTTGACGTTTTTTTCCTTTAAATTTTTAACCATTATTGTTTTAATAAAATGAAGAACAAAATAAATATTATATATATAGTGTAGATATATATATATGTATACATAATTTACAATTTAATTATATCATATTGCGATATTGCACAATTATACATTGCTATTACTCAATATTAAGATGATATAATATATAGTTGTGGATCTCCAATTGTTTCAGATAAACATTTTCTTGCAAATACATCTTCATATATGGATTAATTTAACATGTAACTCACCAATTAAACATAATTATTATTCTTGTAGACTTGAAGATGTATATTTGTGCTTTTAGTATGGTGCAGAAGATTTACTTGAAATTCCCTCAGAAATACAAAATAATTGGAAAACAATTTATCCACTTTGTGAATTATGTCACAATGAAGAAAAAACTCAAACTTCTAAAATATTTAAAAAATAGAGAAAATAATTATAGTTTTTTAAAATAGAAATTTAATATATCTTAAAATATAAATTTGATGATCTATTCTTTTTTAGATTTGACTTTCTTAGCACTTTTGACATCCGGTATAAAATATAAAGTTATCTATTTATTTAAAATGTAAATTTGGTGATTTTTTTAAAAACGTAAATTTGAGGATTTATTTTAAAATGTAAATTTGTGATTATTTTTAATTTAGAATACAGTTGTTAGGCGAAACCTAGGAGTTTCGCCAAAAAAAATTTAAAAAGACGAAATGGCGAAACTGGCAAAACCTGACGAAACTGGTGAAACCTGGCGAAACTGGCGAAACTGACGAAACTGGCGAAACTTGGCGAAACTGGTAAAATCTGGCGAAACTAGCGAAAATAACAAAGCTAATAAAAGTAGCAAGATTAAAAGTTAATTCGTGATCAACCAGTGACAAAACATAGTAAACAGTGGAGGTATTTACTATATATTTTTTGTTGTCTTTAGAATCTGGAGTTTCCCAAAGGAAAACTTTTTTCTTTACTAAGTAAACCTCTCTCTGACTTCTAAGTAAACTTGTAGAGAAGTATCTTGCGAACAAAA